CTTTCTCCCCCTAAAACCATTAATCCCCCAGTCTTTTACCATTCAGTCTTGCCCCTGTTTTTTTTTTTTTTTTTTTGTCCAATTTTCAAATAATTTTTTGCTTCAAATCTAAGTTCGTAATGGTGCGATTTACCTTGTGTCTGCTGGTTTGGTTCATAACTCTTTAACAAATACTTTTTTTAAGTCCTGATGAGTGAATGGGAAAATTGCCTCTGAAGCCAAAGCCGCTGAAAATGTATGGTAGGACTGTTTCACTCTATTAAGCATTGTGATGCCACCATAAAAAAGCTGACTGACTCTTACAACTGTAAGGCGGCGTGCTCTTTAGTAATACCTAGGTAATCTACTACAGCTAAACATAGATACTACCATATTGTTGTTGGACATCACATCTGGCACTGAGGTTAATGGAGTTCAAACTCCATATTGTGCCAGCTCTTGCTCTCTGTCCTAATAAACGTCTCTATTTGTGACTTTTTTTGTTGTTTTATGCAAAAGTCATTAGCGGCATAATTGACTGGGTTTTAGATGTGCATGCATGCTCAGTGTAACTATCTTCCCTGAACAGTCTTTCTGTTGTGCCTGCTTGTCTCTAAATGTGTGCTGGTCTGTCTGTTAGTGTGTGAGAGAGTGAGAACGAGAAAGAAAGGAAGAGAGAGAAGAAATTGTAGGAAATAAATAGCTTTCTTAATTAGGCTCTCTATTCAGTGTGTGGGTGGGTACGTGCCGGAGACAGCGAGCAGCAGCAGCGTAAGACATCTGACATGGTCCTACTGATCATTAAGTATGTGACAGTGTGCACCTTGTCATCATGACTAATAAACTGACTAAACTACCATTTCTGAAGCAGACAGCAACAAGCACCATGAAGAGTTTACATATTTAGCTGGCGGCATGAACAGGTCCTGCGTTAATAAAAAACAGCAGAGCTGTTTATAATCTTAAGACGGGTGAATTAGCATGTCACTGCATCGTAATTAGAGCAAAGATGGGGGGAGGGAGGTAAACAAACACTAATGTTAATTTGATATTTCCACAGAACTTAATAACAACAACAACAACTATACACAGTATTATACAGCAAATCTAGCAAAAATTTGTGGATTTATTCAAATTTAAGGACGTTAACCTCAAGTGAAAACCAAGCAGCTTTCTTCTGTACAGTGCGGCAAATTCGCGAAACATTCAAAAGCGTGAATTGCTATTGTAATGACTGGATTTCGGAGTGAAAACTTGCTGAACAACAGTAAACAATATGACCACACGATGAATATCACTTGAATAAATATAATGAGTTTCTCAGTGTGACCATGGCAGATATCTAGCTGAAGATGTCTGACTAATGACTAGTGTAAACTATTATCTCTGTGCGCTCAGTTGTATTGAATTTCCATCTATTCCAACATGTATGGTATGACTGACCAGTGCATCTTTGCCAAATTTGGTCTCTGACCATCATGGCCTCCTAATCATCCCCATATACTGATTGGCTTCATCACTCAGTGATGGTCTCCTCTCCACCAATAAGCTGGTGTGTGGTGGGCGTTGTGGTGCAATATGGCTGCCGTCGCATCATCCAGGTGGTTGCTGCACATTGGTGGTGGTTGAGGAGATTCCCCCCTTCTATGTAAAGTGCTTCGAGTACCCAGAAAAGCGCTATATAAATGTAACAAATTATTATTAATTATTATCTTTTATTGAGAAAGCCAAATCTGAGATTAATGGGGACATCGGAGGCCCATTTTTCACAAGTTGATATGATTCTTAAGGGTCTGCATAAAATGTCTGCAACATACTTTGGTTTAAAATAACTCAATGGTCGTGTAAAACAGCACACTTTTTACCTTGTCAAAAACAGCTCTGTTCACAGCGATCCGTTTCAGTGCATGTCTCTTTAAATGATAATGAACTACTGCTCACCCCACCCCTCTCTTCCATTTTTTGTGTATTCGGTGGCGCGTTACCATCAAAAACAAAACTCTCTGAACTCTGAAATAAACTCAACTCTGAACTCTGAAATAAAGCGATGTATCTGTCATACAGTGTTTCTGTGGCTGCGGTGTGTCACATGATAAGCATGACGCGTCGCCATGGAAACAATAAAGGGAAATGTTCTAAAATAAAGGTCGCCTAAAAAAACTCACTCTGGGGGGACAGCTAGAATATTTTAAACTCACCAGTGAAAGGGTTAATTCTGCCAATCAGATTTTTCTTGGCTATGAATGATTCTGTAGAACTATAATGACAAAGAATATACAGTATAACAAAAACTCAATATATAAGGAAACCTGCTGGTTACTGATGTTTTGTCTCACATGAGTCTTATCTGTGAGGACACAACAATGGCTGGAGAATAACTTCCCACAGAGACTCTTTTTATTGTCCCAAGGCACTGGCACCGAAGACAATAGAAGCAAGCAAACAAGCCCCTGGGGACACAACCAAATAAGACAGACAGACTTGTTTTTGACCTTAGATTGCATGAAATGAAACTCACAGTGAGTCTTAAAATTAGGCGGAGCTGAAATTCAAACACTACATAATGTACTGGCTCTCAAATATCCTCTTCACAATGATAAACTCTCCAAGCTGAAGCTACTATATACGATAAACATTTTTGAACAAGGCACTCATGGATATGATGAACACTCATAAATTATTCAAGATCCTGACATAAAAGACAACTTCATTCTGTTAGAGCTCTACCTTTGAATCTAAGCCAGGAGAAAATGTCTCAAACACCAAGCCTCGATCTATCAAACATTGTGCTAATGTGGGACGGCTGCTTCTTTGTTAGTTTTCGGGATTAAAGAGCTTTGGAGCTTTCAGAAACTTGGATTTGATAGGTAAAACATCTTAAATCAACCAATCTTAGACAGAAGCATGTTTTGCATGCAACTCCACACTGCAATGGAGAGATAATGACAACTAGTAAAAACAAATTTCATCATTCCTGAATAACAATCAAGCACTTTTCCTCATAGGACCTGAGGGAATGCCTAGTGGTATTGCTATTTTCACAAGGGATTTGCCCATGAACTCCCAAAAACCATCTGGATTTATGCATCTTTATGATATCCATTGACAGCAAACGCACAAAACAAGCATTCAAAGTAACATAAAGGTTTTATCTGGCATGTTTTGGACTGTTTTTCTAAAACACACTAGTAAAAAAAATCTGCACAAGTGTGAGACTCTCAGAGTAAAAGATTATATGGGTGGTATTCTATTTTGGCCACACTAACACGCCACCTGAAACGTGCACTAAAGTGCTAACAATAGATGTCCCACTACCATTCCATCTAAACCAGTCCCACCTCAAATACAAGAAGTCTTCTTAAGCATAAGATAATCTGTATTTTAAGCCTCCACTTTTCTCTTCAACATGCTGCAAACTCAGTCAACAACAGGATATTGATTGGAAACGTTTGACAATATACAGTATTGGAAAAGGTTTCAACAGTGAAAATATGGCAGTGCACTGGCTCCTTGTTTATGTGGAACAATTTCAGAGCATTTTGTAAACATTTCTTTTAGGTGGTCTGCTTGATTTTACTCAGAGAGTTACACATATACAGTCATTATTATTTTGATATCCTGGTGAAGGCATTTGAGATGCTGGGGGGCGGAGGTGAATGGGCTCAATTTCTGAGTAACAATATTGCAAAAGGCATCTCTGCAAGTGCTCAGGTCAGTACACACTGTAAACAAAACTGTATGTTATATAACACTTTGCAACTGAGGCACTACACCGGTACAACTTTCTACTGTCTTTGCACCGTTATCTACCCTGGTGCACATTAAGATTCGATTTTTGATATTTTTAGTAAAGTACCAGAAAGGATGTGAGAAGGCTACTTACCACGAGATAACATTTATATCTTTTACATTACATTTTTTAGAGAAACAACTCTGAAATTAAACATTAAAGCATCATTTCGAGTTTTAATGCATTGGAAAATAGGAATCAATTAATTTGATGCATTTCACGTTGATTCAGATTAGCGCTGAATCAGTCATCATCTACTATATGCTGCAATTCTGTTTTTGCACAGTCAGAAGAGTGCTGATCACCAATTCTTCATTTCAACAGCAATCTGTTGCATGTGACTTTGCCCTGTTACCTTTTGCTGTCGTCTTGCCATGTCGGTCGGCTGCTTCGCATTAAACGGATAGGCAATACAGCGCATCACAAAGACGTAAAGCTGCAGCCTCTTCTTTCTCTCTTCTTCCTCCCTTTGCATCTTTTCCAAATCGTCCTTTTCCTTCTCGATCGCCACTGAGGGGCTCGGGCTCGTTGGTCGGGCATTGGTGCTTCGGCTTGGCTGCAACCCACCAGAGCTTTCGCTGGTCCTGCTTGGAGACACCCGAGGACCACCAGCCTTGGGCGCCGCCACCACTTTGCGCTCTTCTTCCACAACCCCATCCGCCTCCTCCTCGCTGGATGATGGGTCCAACATTTTAATGTAAGTTCTTGCTTCTCTGAAATCAAAATTGAGAATTCAAGTGGCGTCTTTTTTTAGTAACGAAACATCCGTAACTCGCTTCAGAGGACGAAAAAGTACGGAAGACGCTTATTTTTCCACAGCCTACAATCCAAACGCTGCATCAAAAGTGTCACTTACCCTCAGCACGAGTGATAAAGCTGCTCCAACAGCCAGTAGTCTTCCACCGAATTAAATAGTTGCTGCTTACGTGCTTTCTTCGTTTAACTCTGCGTTTACCATCCACCAGCCTTGGGCGCCGCCACCACTTTGCGCTCTTCTTCCACAACCCCATCCGCCTCCTCCTCGCTGGATGATGGGTCCAACATTTTAATGTAAGTTCTTGCTTCTCTGAAATCAAAATTGAGAATTCAAGTGGCGTCTTTTTTTAGTAACGAAACATCCGTAACTCGCTTCAGAGGACGAAAAAGTACGGAAGACGCTTATTTTTCCACAGCCTACAATCCAAACGCTGCATCAAAAGTGTCACTTACCCTCAGCACGAGTGATAAAGCTGCTCCAACAGCCAGTAGTCTTCCACCGAATTAAATAGTTGCTGCTTACGTGCTTTCTTCGTTTAACTCTGCGTTTACCATAACGGATTTAATGGAAGATAACACGGGGAGGATCGTAAAAACAAACAAAAAAAAATTCGCGGCTGTTGTTTTTCTGGTTTCCCCCGGCGGTCTTTCAATTGAGTACCGAACAGTACTGACAATACTGACAATAATGAGAGCAGCCAGCGCGGAGAGCTGACCGTGGTTCTGAACTGAAGCTGGAGGGGGAGGGGGTCATTGACGTGGTTTCCGCGACAGCACTATCGTTGTTTCTCTTCGCGCACGATGTTCACCACGTTTAATCGACCGTTAACAACTACAGCAGTTCCTGAAACATTAGACAATCAATTTAATCTTTTTCATAGTATAGAACTTTAGGGATTTATCCATGACTTCCTTTTTACTGATTTTACTTAGGTTAATCCAGCTGCACTGTTGTCTGTTGTTGTGTTTTTTCATACTGGTTTCCAAACCAGTTGTTAAATTATTCCATATTTGGCATAATTAATAATGAAAACATCTCACGGTAAAATTGGCTTGATGTGTGTGGGCCAAATCTGGCCAGAACTGAGTTCTATGTGCCATATTTGACCCAAATGAGGCCCGGAAATGTATGTTATCAGGGTAAGCAGTAACATTGTAAAAAAAAAAAGAAAAAAAAAAAGTCATTATAGTAACATCTTTGTTTCCATCCATTTTTTAAAAGATTTTATATTTTGGCATTTTTGCCTTTATAGGACAGTGTGATAACAGGAAGCGAAGTGGGAGAGAGAGCTGCCCACAAGGCTATCGGCACCATTTCCATCCATTTATATAGAAATTAATTTCTGTAATTTCTACTAGATTTTATGATATTATTTTATGTTTTGGCAGTCACTGGGCCTGTCCCTCGCACTTGCGCTCTTTGAACGTGAAAACTATATGATATGTATGTAAAGTTGTAGGAAATATAAGTAAAGTTTCTACAGAGCTTTATTTACACATTTAGAACATCAATTCTTTGAAATAAACTGTCTGATCAGTTGTTTGTAGCATATACTAATGAAGTGATAAAAAGCATCAATACAATGTGCAGCACTTTACATTTTACTTCCAAATTCTATGTAAAATCTAACTGGAAAATTTTCCTCAACATCACGTGATTCTGGAGCATGTGAGTTTCTTAACGTGATGAATGATGGCATACACTTATCCTCCGATGCTGCTCTGAAGTGGTATTAGAGATAGTGTATTAGCGATAGCATGAATTTAGTGGGCATAAAGGGCACTGGCATTTATCATGGGCCAGTCATTTTCACTTACTTCCTGTTGCTTGCATACACTCTCAAGTGGCCAAGACTGCAAGTTTTGATATTGGGATGGGCTCATTAAATTAAAACTACACTGTAAAATCCAATAGTTTACCTTACTTAGATTGAATTAGTCATATTTACTTAGCGAGCTTTACAGAAACTCGCTGATCAGATCACAGAGACAGAGCAACAACACCCGGACTCCGTTTTAATCATTCTCGGGGACTTTAATAAAGCAAATCTTTCCCGTGAACTGCCAAAATACAGACAGCATGTTACATGTCCCACCAGAGACAGTAATATACTGGACCATTGTTACTCCACAATAAAGGATGCATATCGCTCGGTCCCCAGAGCAGCTGTAGGACTCTCTGACCACTGCCTGGTTCATCTTATACCGACTTACAGGCATAAACTTAAATCTGCTAAACCTGTAGTAAAGTCTGTAAAGAGATGGACCAACGAAACAGAGCAGGCATTACAAGCCTGTTTCGACTGCACTGATTGGAGTGTTTTTGAAGCTGCCACCAACGATCTGGACGAGCTCACAGCATCTGTAACATCATATATATCAGTTTCTGTGAAGACATGTGCATCCCTACCAGGACTCATTTAACATTCAACAATGATAAGCCATGGTTCACAGCAAAACTTCGTCAGGCCAAAGAGGATGCCTACAAAAGGGGGGACAGAGTATTGTACAATCAGGCCAGAAACACACTGAATAAGGAGATTAGAGTGGCCAAGAGGAACTACGCTAAAAAACTAGAACACCAGTTTTCTGCAAATGAGCCTGCATCAGTGTGGAAAGGCCTGAAGGACATCACCAACTACAAGACACCATCCCCCAGCACTGAGGCCAATCAACAACTTGCTGAAGACCTGAATGGGTTTTACTGTAGATTTGAAACTCCGGACAGCCAGGCACAAGAACAGTTTCTTTCCCCAGGCAATCTACCTCATGAACAGTTAATGTTCTCCCATTGTGCAATTAAAGTATGTGCAATAACCTTATACTTATTTATCACCCTAAATCCTAGTACATCCCTACAACTTTATTTTATTTTATTTTATTCCTATTCTATCTATAGCACACCTGTACATACAATTTATTCTTTTTTTGTGGTTTACATTTATGCATGTGTATTTTATTCACATCTTATTTTTATTATCTGTGTGTTGTTGTTGTCTCTGTGTACTGGATGCTTGTGACACTATAACAAATTCCTTGTATGTGCAAACATACTTGGCAATAAAGCTCTTTCTTCTTCTTCTTCTTCTTCTTAGTTGTTATACTTACTAGGTTTTATTAAGTTACAGCTACTTTCAAGGCAAATAAAACAATTTACTTACTGTTTTGAGTGACACTTACTTCAAATATTCAAGTAGCCACAAAGGAACCAATGACATTAATAAACCAGTGAGAGGCAGCAGTGCACTAACATGTTGCTAATGTGCAACATAACAACAGAAAAATAAGAAAAGAAAAAGAGTCTTAATAGACTTTTCATCCATTTCCTCCATGTCTGCAGTTGTCTTTCACTAGTTGCATTTACTCGTTTCCCAAAGTCATCTTGAATGTTGAATTTTCAATACAACTGAAATATCTGAGAGAACGTCACATAAGCTAACTTCATAAATTGATGTTGATTTTCCTAAAATTTGTTTTTTTTTACTCATCATTATAGTGATTAGCGTTCCCTTTGATTGGGCACTTGGAACTTAATATTTGCTACTATGAATTAATTTCTGTTAATGCAGCAATGCATCATGAAGTCAGAGTTACTTGATTTCAAGGGAAGGAACGTAATTAATAGGTTGCTTTTAGAAGGTGATTTATCTTATAAATAAAGCATTAGTGTATTTTGTTTTGTGTTACTTAATGAGCTTATTCAAATTTAATTTGTCATAAATACCCTGAGATGCTTTTAATTGGGTTTATATAATCCTTAAATAGTGTGTGTGGTAATGTGCTAATGTAGCGAATCAGCTCATGGGGAAATATGAATAATTAACCATAACTAGTTATAATTAACTATTCATATTTTAGATCCGCTGTAGATATTTAGCTGACCACTCAGGGTCAACTGTCTTGTCAATTCTAAGAACGTTGATTTCCTGGTTAAGGGAAATAACTTTCTTACTGTACAATTCTATAAGCTTGTAACGTAAATCTGCATGATTATTGACTCCGGTTATGAGTAAACAATGAACCCGTCAAGTGTGATACAAGTAAGGTTTTATTAACTACATAAACACTTAAACTAGTCTAACATACTACATAAACACATTAAGCCGGTCTAACATACACATACACACACACACACACACACATACAGTTGGTATAGGAAAGGGTTAAAGTTTAACTCAGCATAGAAAGAGGCATAAAGAATGGATTTTATGGAACACTTTGCATGTATATTCAACAGATCAAAGCCTTCAGGGATACGTCAGATTCTAAGTTCAAACACACCTTTGTAAAAAGGTGTAACTGATACTTAATGTATCAATTAATAAGACTAAGTTTGAAACTTAGCGAGTCTCGGCGGTCTGAAAGAGATTCCTGATGCAAATCTTAAAGCTTCCCGTAGATCTTTGCTGAATTCGGGTCGATGAAAAGAACCAGTTTGAGTCAGTGTCACTTGATGAATGGAAAGGACTAGGCCGAAGAAAAGGCCTGGCACAGATGCTTTGGTATCCTGAAGCGTTTCTCACATCTTCATCTTAGCATCTCACTGAACCACCCAACAGGGCGTGTCACATGGAGCGTGGCCTTTTAAAGACTGCAGAGATTCACGCCTCTCAAGATGGGCTTGCCCAATGGGGAAGTCCGGAATCTCAAGTGGGAGTTCTGCGTTTTTATGGCCCTTTGTCTCTAAGCATGGTATTTTGCATATGTAATTCACTTGGGTGTTGATGCAGAAATTAGTAATGATTCTTAGAACATCAATATGTTGCAGAGGTATAAGCATGTAATATGCACTCTCAGTTAGATCATCCGAAGACGAATTCATAGATACTAGACATGGTAGAGTTACTTATATGAATGAGTGGTTTATCGTAAGCACGAATAAAAATAGTCTATAATACAACAGATTAATACAAAACAGCAATAATACACACAATGGCCTGAAGAAAATGGGTGTTCATTCAAAGAAGGTTTTCCTATGAATTAATTAGTAGAACAGTCCATTTCTCCTGTGCATTTGTACCCCTTGTTTCTGGAGAAAGCAGAATGAGAGCCGGCTCGCATTCCACAAGGTTGTAAATGTATCGGGTTACCATGAAACCAGGGTCTTGTTCGGCGTCCTGGGGTGTTACAAAGTATTTGTGAAATCTAGCTAACAAAATATATATTGTGTGTTGGAGTGGTCCAGACGC